GTGTGTGTGTGTGTGTGTGTGTGTGTGTGTGTGTGTGTGTGTGTGTGCGCGCATGCATCATCGCCTGGAGGCCTGAGCAAATTGCTGGTGATGATGACTTTACCTGCATGACTGAGCTATGATAGCTTGGAAACACACACACCACAGCGGGTAGCTTTATCTCCTATTTCTAGCTGAAAGTCTTCTTCTTGTGTGTGGGACATGTCGACATGGAACAAACCTGTCATTTGGGTAAATGCATGTTTTTCCAATTCCACATTCTGATTCTCGTAAATGTCTTTGTGGAGAGCAACATTTAGACCCGCTGCACTTTTGCCTTTGCCTAAATTGGTGGTTGCACATGCATCCCTGCACATGTATGTTTACCATATGGTCGCCCGGAACAATGACTTACAAGCTCTGAGAAAGAGAGCAGCGATACGGCCAAGTGAGGGACGTCCAACGGGCCCAAGAAGAGTAAGACGCATTGCTTTTAACATCCAAGATGGTCAGTGTACCAGGAGTGATATAACCCCTTTATGCCTTTTAAATATCAGGCTTTATTGTTGTAATTTCACTGCTTTAAGCTGTTGTTTTAGGAATGACTGCGCTGCTGCTCCTTTAGCCTCCAGCTGGTTACCAACATGACTCTCTCACAGCTCATACAGTAACGCTACACTTCACAAACCACCAGTTACCAACAGAATGCTAATTTAAGGAAGGTGAGGGGATTATAACAAGCGGACACAGACCAATAACTTGTGTATCGCTTTATTTATTTATTTATATAAAAACAGTTTGTCATATGTGAAACAATTTAAGCTTAACTCTATTAATACACAACAACAAAACAAACACGCTTAGCATGTCAGACAGAGATGGAGGGAGAGACTTATGGAAAGTTCATCATATATGGGTAGTGTGCAGATACATGAGAGGAGCTCTTCTGGAGCGGCGTAGTTAGGAGCTGTTAGACTGTCTACACAACCTTGACCCAGATTGAAGCAGAGTAAATGTGTAAAACACACAGAGACACACTTGCAAATGAGGCCCAATTATCATCTCTCCCTTCATCCGTATCGCTCCCCTTTCTCTCGCTCTTTTACTCTCAATTCCTTTCTTCTCCTTCATTTAAAAAATGTTCTTTTTCACATCCCACTCTCCTGTACTCCCTCTCCGTCCTCCCTCAGTCCATCCGTCTTACCGTGAGTGACCCAGTATCTTCCTCAGTTTCAGGACATCATGCTGGAGGTCCACTCCATGGCCTTGTTCGCTTTACTCCCTCTCCACAGTTTTTCATCACTCTGCCCTGTAGCTGTCTAAAAAAAACAAGAAACAAGGCCACAGTTTCAGACGTTTTATTGCTTCTATACCAAGTAAACTTGGTTTGCTCAACTGCTCTGCGTTCATTTCAGAGAACACGATAAATGTCATGAAAGCCATTCTCTGTCTTAGCTACTTCTAGGGTTTGCAATTTGTCTGGACAAAAAGACAAATATGTATTTAGTTAATTTCTGATTGGAAACACAGCACACATTAACATAATCTATAAATACCGTAAACCATTGGTAAATACATACAGGCTGGTTTTGAGTTACGCAGGTGGTTTGACTAGATACTTGTTTGTGAGTATTCTGTCACCTTATTGCTTATCTTTAGCGAGCTATAGGAGCTATACCAATTTAACCCCATTAGGTGCTGAGACAAGTGTAGTGGTCTTTAACTCGAGTAATCTTTACTTTACCTGGTTGGCTTCACTGTCTCCACCACGGCCTCTCTGCTCGCTGACCTAGCTTTGTGTATGTAGTTGGATGAGCTCAGCCCGACAGAGAGAGCAGAGCAGTAAATTACAACAAAACAAAAGCACTAATAAAAAGCGACAGCAACGATGGAGCTTATCAATCCTCAAGTCTTTAATAATTTAGCACCGGGGCCCGTTTAAGACCGGGTTTTCGGTAGACATCCTTACCTTTAGGTAACGCAAAAGGCTCTCTTTAGAGCCAGTTTCACTTTGTCCCTTCTGGGCTTCTGTAGAAACATGGTGGTGCAACATGGCGGACTCCGTGGAGGAGGACCCACCACCTATGTGGATCTAAGCTAACTGAAATGCAACGATTCACAGTTTCAGGTTATGAATATTGTATTCAGTTTCTGCTAATAACTCCCCCTACATGGTTCACCTGGTTATTTTAAGAGACACACTTATAAGTCCAACTGATCACTAGACTGCTCATCCATGGAAGACCAGTAACAAGCCAGGATAAAGTAACATTTGTATGTGGGAGCACTCTGAATCAGGATGGAAATTAATTGGGAAACAAATCACCAAATTATTCATCAGGGACTCTGATCTTGATGTAGTAGATTCATCTACAGAGACACTTGAAACGGCCTCTTGGCCACTTGTGAGATCTAACAAATCAGTGGTGCAGCACCTCATAAAGGTTCACAGGCTGGACCTGGACTCACAGACCCCTCTGTCTCTCTCTCTGTCTGTGTGCTTAAACCCATTGATTGACACTAACTGAGCGGAAAATGCTGTTAAGATCCGATTGAGTTGTCCAATTGATCTGCCACAGACTCCATTCTCACCAGAGCAAATCTGGTGTCTCTGCGGACAGATGGACAGGAACATTTTTCCCCGAATTTAGCTTTGATAATTGGGAGTTAAATAATTACAAAGGAGAAGAATAACATCTGGTCGAGATGTCTCTTTCAGTCAAATATTCTGTTGAATGAACACTATTAAAGAAAAGCTCAGAACGGCTGACTTTTTTTCCTTCTGCCAGTGAGTTACGTCAGTAGCCTTTATGTAATTGAATCAATATAAATAATGGTAGAATATGCCGGACAAGAAAATGGGGGCTTTCTGTACTGTACACATGTAGCTTCCTACAATATTGAGTTACTGCAAAGCCGTAGCAGCACTCAACAAAGTAACTGCTTACCCGATTTCCTCTGACACTTTCTGTCACTCTCACTTTTTCTCACAAACACAAATGCGCACACATACACACACACACACACGTTACCCGGTCGTTATCTGCCTCAGCCAGTATGTCCCATAGCTCTTCTATTAACATTCAGACTGATAAAGCTCTTGCAAATCACTCCCACTGCACTGCA